CAATCTCCGGGCTCCGGTGAACATTAATCCGGCAGGTACCAAGTAATCACAAATATACACAATGTGATACCCATTGTGATATACTATGATACCGATTTCACCGAAGGCCGGAGATTGGAGGTCGGAAAGATGAGAGAGGACAGAGAAAAGAAGTGTTTAAAAAAAATACCTAATATTTCCTCTAATTATAATTTTAACTCAAACTATCATAATTATTAATTTACTAATTTATCCGTTGATTTGTGATTGAGATTGGACCTCACAGTTACCACAAACTATTCAGTTCTCATTTGATTAGGCTTCTATATATATAGAGGCGGGATCAAATGAAAACCGTCTAATTCTTAGAAACCGTGTAAACTAATTTTGACCAATAGGAAAATTCAATTTTTTTAATTAAATTTAATCATTAAGGGTAGATTTGTCATTTACATTATTTTCTATTAAATATGGAAGTTATTAATAAATCTTAATTAAGGTAACATAATAAAGGAAATTTTATAAATGGTAATATTTAAATTAGAATTTAAAAATTGAATATTGTTATTTGGTTTCTCGGTTTATTAGTGATAATAATATGAAAATCGAAAATTATTATATTCATTAATCCATTAAATCAGTAATAGATCCACACAAAGATTCATGAACTAGTAAAAATATAATCAGCTGTGAAATAGATTCATGTTGTGTAATTAGCGAAAAGTAAAACCATTTCATAATTGTTAAGAACATGTTGTGTAATTAGCGAACAATGAAACCGTTTCATAATTATTAAGAACATGTTGTGTAATTAGCGAACAGTGAAACCATTTCATAATTAGATTGTTAAGAACATATTGTGTAATTTGCGAACTGTGAAATCATTTCATAATTAGAATGAAACGGATCCATCTACCGATAACATGAAAATAACAATTGTCTCATCTAGCATTACGTTGATTTGTGTATTGATGAAACTGTGAAACCATTTAAATCGTTGATGAAACATTGATAAAATAGTTTCATCTATGGTTTAAATCGTTGCATAATATACTAGGATACAAAATATATTCTTGGATAATATTGTTTCATTATCAACAATTGTTGATAAAATCGTTTCGTTTTTTCCCCGGGTTATCTGGTTCACTTAATGGTTATTGATTTGTATGGTATGGTGGATGCAATATTTTTAATTGTTATAAATTGTAAAACATGTTCATGGAATGATTATTGTAAACGGTTGAGATGTTAACGTTAAGAACATAATGTTTAATAGGCAAATAGTGAAACCATTTCATAATAAGATTGAAACAAATCTATCTTCTGAGAAAATGAAAATGACATATGACTCCTCTAGAAAGACGTTGATTTGTATATCGTAAAAAATACGGTGAAATCATTTCATTCATTAAATGTAATAGTTAAAAATATTGTTTCCTTGTTCAAAAAGGGGTTTATTAAGGAAACGGATGATTCTACCCGATTTATTGATATAGACGATTTTACTATTTTGCCTTTTTTCCAATTAAATTTTATTTTTATTTTTTAACTTCCTAATATAAACTAAACCAATCTTGACCATTGATCAAGAAAATGGATGGATGAGATTGGTTTATATGGTTTACACAAATGAGGACGGTTTTTATTTGATCGCTCATCTCTCTCTCTTTCTCTCTCTCTCTCTCTCTCTCAAATGAAAACCACTCAATTTGTAAAAACCGTAAAAACTCATTCTACCAATCATAATTTTTCATTTTGTTCATTTTTTTTTTGTAATTATAAGAGGTTGATTAATCATTTTTATTGTGGATGATGTTAATCATGGATATTATCATCTTCATTATTTTAATTTTAGAGAAATACATGAAACAGTTTTATTAAAATTTCATTAAGTAGTGTATAAAACAATTTCATAACCATATATGAAACAACTTCATCAAAAAAGCATTATATGAAACAATTTCACAAGTTAAACAATTTCATGAAAAAATTTCATAAGATTACGACGGATGAGAGTAGTTTTTACTGTTTTTACAAATTAGAGTGATTTTCATTTGATCGCTCCTTTATATATATATATATATATATAGAGAGAGAGAGAGAGAGAGAGAGAGAGAGAGACTTGAGATCACATAAGAACAACCTGTTTTTGTGAGACCCGTGAGACCAGCTTTTTACACTTGAAACTTCACAACATTTTGTTATGAAGGTAACCTTCACAATGTTTTTGCTGTGAATGTTCGACTTTTTTAAACTTTCACAGTGTTTTTGATGTGAAGTTTCAAGTGTGAAAATGTGGTTTCACGGGTCTCACGAAAACAGCCTGTTCTCACGTGAACCCAACTATATATATATATATATAGAGAGAGAGGGGGGGAAGATCAAATGTTAACCATCATTTTTGTGTTAACTTTAATTGTTTGAGGGTTACAAATGAATTCAATTTACTAGAATACCCTTGATAAGTGTATTTTTTCTTCCCAAAATGCCCCTTTCATCATTGTTCACAAGGCCTCATTAAAATTCAAACTTTAAAATTTAATTTTTTTTATTGATTAATCTTAACCGTTGATTATAGATTTGGATGGCCAAGATCA